AATAATAATAAAAAAAATCCTTACAATTACAATAGGGTTTCAGCACTGCGTGCTTGAACCCCTAATTATGGATGCCACAATTACGTAATCGTTCAAAGTGGCAATTAATCGTTCAAAGTCGACTTATGTTATTCTGCATGCTTAAGATATGTTTTTTTCTTTCTACATGTTATCTTAAGGGTTTTTCCATTGTTTTAGTTTTAGTATAACATTATAATACCATTCATATTTGTACTTTTGTATCATTTAAAGAAGAAACCAATCTGATGTATATTTGACATTTGAGGCTTAATACTATAGAAAAGCACTAAAGGTTTTTCAGATAGAGGGTTTTCAGCTTGTTTATTTTCATATAAAATATGGCATGCAGTTGCATCAAACAATGGTATAAACATCATTCAATGTAAATTGTGATAATCGTAATTAATAATCACAATTACAATTTCAAGGGAATAATCAACAATTATGATTTTTGTCATAATCGTGCAGCCCTAAGTCATAGCCAACAAAGGTCTAGCCTTCTCTCTCACACATACCATCATATACAGCTGGAGAAAGCTCTCACACACACATATAGTCTAATCAGAGGCAGATGTTCAGCATATGAGGTTAGCTAAGGCTCAGATGAAAGGGAGGGAAAGATCTGCCATGTTTTTTGAGATATGCGAATGTCCTCATAGACACTTGTGCCACTTTGGACCAAGACGCTGCATACCAATTTTCAAGTCGATCAGACCAACAGTTGCCTAGTTATAGCTGAATTTATGTTTTTTTCTGTCTTATAGTACCCCCAAATGGCAGAGCTGCGCATTTTTTTTATATGACCAAAGATTAAGCTCCTACATATGTGTACCGAGTTTGGTGAAGATATCTCATTCCGTTCAAGAGTTATACTTCAATTAACATTTGGCTAACGTTAGCATAGAGGCTTCTTGGCATACTGTTTCGCGCAAAAATCGAAATTTCACCTTTTTTTTGATAATTATTGATACTCGGTGTCCAGCGAATATTTCTGCAGTGGTTTGGTTCCGATCTGGTGAAAAACCTCGGACTAGTTCGCAAAAGTAGGTTTGGGATATAGGCCAATTTTACGGAAAAACCGTGCGTCATAGAGAAAATCTGTCTGTCTCTACTTTTGTTTGTGTTGACCCAAGGATTGCAACGATGTAAAAAATGTTAATCTACGACAAAAGGTGTACGAGTCAGGGCCAAAAATGTCTGAAATTTTTTTTCACCCCCTTTGGCCGATTAGGGTGAGCCTTTGTCAGAATGTCCCCTCAGCGAGCTCTACCTTCTGGCCAAGTTTCAGCTCTCTAGGCCTTACGGTTTGGTCTGCACGATCAGTTTTAGCGGAGAAAAATAATAATAAAAAAAATCCTTACAATTACAATAGGGTTTCAGCACTGCGTGCTTGAACCCCTAATTATGGATGCCACAATTACGTAATCGTTCAAAGTGGCAATTAATCGTTCAAAGTCGACTTATGTTATTCTGCATGCTTAAGATATGTTTTTTTCTTTCTACATGTTATCTTAAGGGTTTTTCCATTGTTTTAGTTTTAGTATAACATTATAATACCATTCATATTTGTACTTTTGTATCATTTAAAGAAGAAACCAATCTGATGTATATTTGACATTTGAGGCTTAATACTATAGAAAAGCACTAAAGGTTTTTCAGATAGAGGGTTTTCAGCTTGTTTATTTTCATATAAAATATGGCATGCAGTTGCATCAAACAATGGTATAAACATCATTCAATGTAAATTGTGATAATCGTAATTAATAATCACAATTACAATTTCAAGGGAATAATCAACAATTAATATGGCATGAAGTTGCATCAAACAATGGTATAAACATCATTCAATGTAAATTGTGATAATCGTAATTAATAATCACAATTACAATTTCAAGGGAATAATCAACAATTATGATTTTTGTCATAATCGTGCAGCCCTAAGTCATAGCCAACAAAGGTCTAGCCTTCTCTCTCACACATACCATCATATACAGCTGGAGAAAGCTCTCACACACACATATAGTCTAATCAGAGGCAGATGTTCAGCATATGAGGTTAGCTAAGGCTCAGATGAAAGGGAGGGAAAGATCTCTGTGAGTTGGTTCAGCATGTGGTCCAGCGTCTCTGTCATGTGGTCATGAGGTGCGGTCTGGATAACCAAGCACGGTCTAGAATCCATTGGTTTTTTTAATGGTCATGTTTCTGATGTTCATCTGAATCACTTGACTCAGTGTTTACCCTTCAGTTACAATGTATTACCCCATAGAGGTGTGTGCTACAGCGGGTTCATTTGTTCTGTTGTCAGAGACAATCAAGTCAGACATACGGCTTTTCCTCCATAGTTTTATAGTTAATTTGGGTCAACATTCAAGTCATTTATTTTATGCATAGGCAGTGAAATGCTTTTTCTTGTGATTTGATTTTATCTTCTATTTATTGTGTCTTCTGATATTTTCCACATTGCATTTCAGTAGGCAGAAGCCATGTTATGTGTTGTTCCCAACACAGCTGCATTAGCTCAACCAGCGACATGAGTTCGAGACCGAGCTTTCTGTTTGTCGACCAATAATAGTCATTATTTCTGTCAGGACCACTATCGTCAAAATGATAGATACTTAGCATAAAGTTTGGTTTGGCGGTATGGTTCTGTTCTGGGCAAAAAACCTCCCTGCCCATCCATGCAGCCTGTCATGAATGAGCAGGGAGAGCAACAATAATAACCCCCCCAGGGTTAACAGAACAGAACAAGGCAGATATCATTAATGTACTCAATGATATTTAAGTGTAACACTTTATTCAAGATAAAGGAGTCTGATTAGCAAGGAATATCAGAAAGCTAAGTCCTGACTGTGGCAAAAGGTGGAGCTGGGGATGGAGGAGGGTAATTTGCTCCGAAGCAAGCTGAAAAGCTGCTGAATAATACTGAATACAGCTTATATAGGAATGCCGCGATAGGTGTCGTATTCCTATAGGTAGATGTGATCAGCTGATGCAAGCTTGACTCACGTGACCTGCCAGAACTAACGCTAAAGCTTAATTTTTGCTATTCCAGTTGGTGATGGTAGTGGCACCGAAATTACATGCTGCACATTTTAAGTGATCAAAACTCTTTGGAGTCTTTTAAAATTGTGTAACCACACCTGCCAAAGGAGTTAAAGAAACCATTTAACTGTTTGTATAAGTTCTCCTTTTCTCTTGCATTCAGGGGATGTCTTTTGCTAGGCAAAGCAGAACTTAGAGGTTAAATGTTTTGAAAAAGTTTTTTTTTCCAGTTTCACTGAGCTGAAGGGAACAGCACTGAGGGAACGAATACTGAACTGAATGGAAATCCCTTAGTTAAAGCAGCATTTTATTTGCTGTGTCATTTTCTTGGCAGCTGATGTTTCATTGTAAATCCACCGCTGTACATGTTTAAACATGGACGTCACGTTAGCGCATAAATCTCTGCTGGAGTGTTTAAACTCAGCAGTAATCTGTCTGAGAAGGATGTGGGCTGCCAAAAACGCAGATAGGAGGCTTAATCCCAATGAATGATGACTAGGAATGTGTTGTTTTGTAACCTTCATGAAAGTTTCAGCAATTTGATACAAATTAATGTTTTAAAATAACCTGAGAACACGTGAACAGGTGAAACCCAAACCTGTGCATACTGCATAAACTTAAATAATTACACTACAGTTCAAAAGTATTTTTTTAATTAATACTTTTGTTCAGCAGTGATGAGTTAAATTGATCAAAAGTGACATTAAAGACATTTGTAATGTTACAAAAGGTTTCTATTTCAAATAAATGCTGTTCAATTGAACTTTATATTTAAAAAATGTATCATGAAGTTGTTTTGTGACTTGCAGGCTACAGAATCTCATCAAAAATGGTAAAACTGACAATGGGCAATTGGACAATATTTAGTACCTACTACAGTACTTTTTTTTCATACTAGACATCCTGCTATAAATAATTTAGCATGTAGTCTGTTAAAAGTGTGGCAACTCCCAAGTTTCCTGCTGGCTATGGTTCTCTCTTTTTATCGGCCTGACTATCTTTTGCTTTGTGGGACAGTAATTGTAGTTAAGTGGTTGTTTTATGGTGTGCTGAGGGTTTGACTTCAGTGTTTGTTGGTTGAACGAATGGCCATTGTACCACAGGAGGGGCCCAAATGTGGACAAATGTATTATGCAAGTGGCAGTGATGAGAATGGTATCACTCATAGATACTACCATGGACACTTGAGACATATGGATACACACCCAGAACAGATACCCTTCAGCTTCATGAAAGCAGGTTAGCATTAGCTGTGGTGTCACGGTGACGCTGGGGCAACAGCCAAACAGGAGGACACTCTGTGTGTGTGTGTGTGTGTGTGTGTGTGTGTGTGTGTGTGTGTGTGTGTGTGTGTGTGTGTGTGTCTGCATGTGTGCTTGCTTGTTTTTTTTTTTTAGAACACCATCTGTGCATAAGCTGATATGTTGTGTTACGAATTACTTTCTACACATCTGGTTTACTGTAGTACTACACCTCACGGAAATTACAGAAAGTGAGACAGATAATGTATCCTGTGGCTCCATATGAGAGATGATAGTGTATGTTTTCTCACACAGGCTGTTCCTCTTCTGCCATCTGCTGCAGTCATGTGTGTGCAAAAAGATAAAAGCAAATCAGTCCTATGTAATCCTTTGCTGGTAGTTCATATACATTGATAGACTAGCTTGTTCGTTTTCTAACTCACCTGCATTTTTAAAGCAGTTTAAAAATTCATTTTAGGTTATGACTGTGCAGTTTGTGTTGTAGATCAAATGTGAACAATGTTAACCATTTAATTCATTTTACACAAATCAGAAAGCAGCGTTATGAAAGCACACAGGTAACCAGTGGTTAACATTTATGGCAGGACTGATGAGTTTCATTGTGAAATTTTGCAAATGTTATCTATCTCATCATCTGAAGATTATTCTAAACTGTGTGTGTGTTTGTTTCCACAGTATCCTCTGCTGCTGGGTCTCTCTCTGGCCATCAGCTGGTGTGTCCTAGTGTGTTTGAGCCGCATATACATGGGCATGCACTCCATACTGGTAAGACAAATTAAAATAACTGAAACATAAAACTTAATATTTTTATGAAATAATAAACGATGTAAAGATTTTTAGAGATACACAGGAGATGTACGTTAACTTTTTTTGCATATAGCACTGCAACCCTCTACGCACACCTTGGAAATATAATCGCCATTGGCTAGTACATTTTTTAGTTTTCCCGCCAGACTGATATACTATTTAACACACATACACATATATATATAGGGGCAATTAATTTTTCACGTAGGGCCAGGTAGGTTTGGACAGCTTTTTTCCCTTAATAAATGAAATTATCATTTAAAAACTGCATTTTGTATTTACTTGCATTATCTTTGCGTAATATTAAAATTGGTTTGATTATCTGAATCTTTTACGTGTGACAAATATGCAAAAAATAAACAAAACAGGAAGGGGGAAAAAAACTTTTCACGGCACTGTATATGTATATACAGTATGTATGTAGGCAATGTATTTGATTCCACCAAATCAGCTTATCTTTGTAAAATGGCACAGCTTCTTAATCAGTCAATCACGCATTATATTATGATATTATGATTATTAAGCACTATTTAATGATAAAACTTTAGTGATTAGAACTAAAACTTGGTAACAATGTATGAAAGCATATTTGTCATTTTAACTGAAGTTTCAGGGAACTTTCAGGTCATTCAGGGTTTCTATTAAAAAAATAGATAATAGTAATAGATAATAGTAATTATTAAAAGATAATACTACTTATAATTCTACTACTATACTAACCATATACAACGTACTAAGTATTGATGAGCTGCTGGGATCATGAATATTAATCACGTTGTCACTGTTTTCTCGAACTGATTTGCTGAAATCAAAACAGGGACGGTAATAGATGAGCACCAGGCAATGAGGCAGATGATAGGTAATAGATGAGCGCCAGCCATTAGTTCCACCCACTACAGGAGAAACTACTTGTTCTAAACTACTTATGCTTGTTCTTAAAAGCTGAACAATTTTAAATGAACTCCATTATTTTGACAGAAAAATACAACAAAGAATATCATTTACATGCAATGTATCAGCAAAGCGTCATGCGCCTTCACTCTAGAGTTTACGGTACGCCAAATAAGGTACGCTGCGCATCCATTGAGATGAACTTAAATAGTACAGATTGCTTGATAGAGAGCGAAACTCTGAAGCGCACAGTCAGAGTGTTCAGCAAGTGAAAATATATCTGTGCTAAACTTGTAATTAGCCTCCAACTCACACACTGGCGAGTAAAATCTAAGAATTT